CCCCTTAAAAAAAGACACACCTACATGGGGTTCTCAAAAAAGCGGACTCGCCAGCTTGCTTTGGCACACGATAATCCAAGAAATGTTGAGGAATCCTGCGGTTACTTTAGTTCACTTGCCCAAAGAACCCCAACTTCAAAGGCGATCACCTCGGGGAGCCACTCAAAATGCACCAAAAGTAAAAACCCAAACTGGGCCGCCCTTAGATCCCCTGCTAAGCTACCACCAAACCAACTGAAAAAGCCTAAAAAGCTGAGGAACCGGATCGGGGGGTTCCAAAGCTTTTACGTTCATCGAACCACCAAAGGCCGATGGCCGATGGTTTCGCTCACCCACCATCCAAAAATAGACTGCGTAGAATGGATGGAATTCATGCCACAAATGGTACCACAAGTTTTGAACCATGGTCATGTGCGCCCTGGTCAATACTCCTATGGTGATAGGAGCCCTTGTGTTGTCTATCCAAGGGGGGGGACGTAGGTGGGAACCTTGGGACCCAGCCTAGGCGCGGGTCCTGTGCGCTTTTGGCCAAAGGTGAAAATCTCCAGAGTCCGAAGTATCTGACATTGAGAGATCTCAGCTGATGCACCTCCTAAATTTCAGCTGGCTGGCTGGAGCCAGAATCGCCAGAACGGCAGGCGGAACGGCGAGTCGGAAACATTGGTATCCTTTTTGGAAAATAGATGGCCGGTACATGGAACAAAACCAATCTAAACCAGTGGAACCCATCTATTTCTAATCAAGCTAACCGATCAAAAGGACGCCTATGGGCACCCGCACCATGTAGCTGGAAGCATTGGAGCCGGTTGAAACTGACCAGCGCGCAAGAAAAAACCGGCCACTGACCAGCCCACCCGACTTTTTTTTCTTCTCCAAGTGTGATCCTGGAAGGAAGAGCTTCACACTGCACACACAAGCATGTGCCTGTAGCGGAACCCCAAATCCCAAAATGGTTGGGTTCCTTGCGACTGGCACCAAAACCCACTCAAAGGGGGAACTCCAAAAAAGACGAGGCACCTGGTTGGATCTTTCAAGTGGGGCTGTACAGCACCGGAAAAAATGCAAACAAGTTGACCTGAGTTCGCCATGGTCTGCTTTTATTGGTTTGCTTCCAACATCTTCATGAGTGTATTTTGGCAGGACACCCCAAATGGTGTGTTGCCTTTCTCAGTTGTTCAGTGACCCTGGAAAAAAGCAGGAACCCTTTTTTGGGAAGACCATTTTGGGGGGCAGCCACCAAAAAAAAGGAAAAAGGGAGCCACTGAACAACTAAGCTTTTGGTTTTCTTTTAACCAACAAAGGGTTCCCCGCCAGCCACCCAGCCACCCACCAACCAAGCCACCAACCAAGCCACCAACCAAGCCACCAACCAAGCCACCAACCAAGCCACCAACCAAGCCACCAACCAAGCCACCAACCAAGCCACCAACCAAGCCACCAACCAAGCCACCAACCAACCAGGCAACCAGCCCGGTTTAACCAAGAACTCAACTTGACCATTTCTTCTTCAGGGATCCTTACATTATACACCTGAACATTGCCTTGCAAATGGTGGTGTCCCTTTATGTTGGTGGAAAAAGCCATGTTTCAAATGGTTGCAAAATAAATTTATTTTAAGGATCCCTGTTCTTATCCAAGCCCTTATATCAGGCACTCACTGGATGTCCCCAGAGTCGATCAATTTACTGGTGCGTTCCATTCTATTGCCGCCTGCGGAGGTCCAAAGGGAACAAATATGCGGGGGGGTGTCTCTTTTCGTGGGAGGAGCCCCCTCCCCCCAAGAAAAAACCAAACAAAACACGCGTTCCTCTTGGTGTCCCTTTGAAACCAACCGTTTTTCCCGGTGTTTCTGGCCAAAAATGTCAAACCACCCGAAAAACCACCACAAAGGTTGGCTCCAAGTCCCGAAAAGGAAAAAAACAACAAAAAAACGACGCGCCAACCCCACCTCTCTCGCCCTCCCCCGGCCCTCCGGCCCTCGGCTCACGGCCGCACGCCTCCCAGGCGCAGATGCGGGAGGGCGCAAAGGCGCCCTCCACGCCCTCCTTGCCGTAGTACAGCGGCCTCGATGCTTCGCTTTCCGCTTTTCGCTTTTCGCTTTTCGCGTTTTTCTGTTCAGGAGCTATGAAGCAACGGGTTGATTTTGATCTGGCGCTCCTTTTTTTTCCAGCGTTTTTGGGAAGCATAAAAATGGTTGGTTGAACGAGCCTCCAAAAAATGGTTGTAACTGGAGTTTCGTTCACCCCAGATTAATCAACCCACCAGTGACCAACCGGCTTATTATTCATAGGGGGGGTGGTTTTTGACCCCATAGAAGTGGTCCGATTCCCAATTGAACCCACAAAACACTGGTTGGTTGACTAATATGGGGTCACGGGGAAAAGTTGTTTAAGAGTTGTCTGCTTGCAACCACTAAACCCAGTCACACCGGGACCCCGATTAAAAAAGCTGGGGTTGAATGATATGGGGTCAACAATACCTCTCAGGGCCCAGAAATGGCCTTGTGGTAACCATGAAAGCCACGAATGAAACCCACGGTTGAAGCCATTCTTTGTTTGGTATGTAGAGAGGTAGAATAAGGGTACCCTGTTTTTCTGCAGTCTATTTTAGTGGGGGAACCTCCCCCAAAAAAGAGTAAAAGGGCACTACTGGGGGATTCCGAAGAACGGTCATCCACAGTAGGGGGCCGAGAAATGGGGTTGGTAGCCTTCGGCGTTCTTCATGGAGCCCCCATAAGGGAGGGGGGGTCGGTGTTGGGGTCATGACCTGGGCAACATAATTTTAGTGAAGGGCAAAGATGTCAAATGGGTACTTGCTCGATTCGCCAAGTTAGCAAGTAGTTGGTATGAATTACAGCCCATGTGGAGTTAACCTTGGGTAACACAGGCTGACCACTTACTAACTTGGCGAATCGAACATACCAGGGGGTAAGTACTTGCTGGTTTGTTTCTTCGTTTATCACCCTGAAAGGAGCCCCTTCTCACTAAACGATGGGAACCCACACAGGGAAAGCTCCACGGTCAAAAGGTTGGGCTTGGGCAAATGAGTTTCGGATGGCTGGGGTCTGTATGGTCGGCTTGGCTACCATGAACCAGGTGTTGCCCAAATTTCCCCTTACGAAAGTTGCAACTGCGCAACAGCTTCGCCATGAATATCCCACCTTTGTGTAAAGCCCTGGCTCACTTGGGTGGATTTTCCAAAGTTAGTCCATGCATTGTCTTTACCACTCAAATGGGACCTGGAAAGAACCAGGGACTGGATGGAAGTGGGAAAGCAAGAATCCCTCTTCCAGGTTGTTATCAAGCAGATGAAGCACAAGCCATGGCAAACAGGAGGTCTCCTTAGTTCCCCACTTGCAAGAGATCAACCACGCGCCCATCTACGTTGAACAGGACAATGTGACAACACACATACATCCATGCCAAGAACGTCCGGACTGGAGACATAGAGCGAAGCCAGCTCCGGCTTCAAACCTGCTGGGAAAACATCAGTAGACAGGCAGAGCTTATTTTGGTAGTGGCTTTCCCGTTGATTTCCGTTTAAAACCACACACACATCGGGGTACCTAAAACAAAAATGTCCCCCTTCACAAGTTGCAGTTTGCTGGCGGTGTCCATTGAAAATGCAACCTTTGCAGGCTCCCTTTAGAGTGGCTCGGAAGCGCTGATCGCGCTTCTTTTTTCTCCTGGTTTGATTTAAACTTCGATGCCTGCGACCTGCGAATGAATAGCTCAAGTTGGTTCGATAGGTTGGGAATGAGAAATGGAATGGCCCCGATTTGGGTTCCTTGAAGGGAATCCCTAGGAAAATTCCCCACATTCTGGGTCATTCCATACTGAGCACCAGGGTGTCCCCCCATATAAAGGGGGAAGTTCCCTTACAGTGGGGGATAAACCCCTTGATCCCACAATCCTGTACAACACTGGTGTTACAGGAAAACCAAAGGTAAAAGGACCCATTTTGCATTTTGGTTGTTCCGATTCCTAGTTTGAGCCAAATCCAAGCTTTACCAGATCGGCTGCAAAACCAACTCAAAGATCGCCGGACTGTGGCGCACTAACTTCAGACCTTCGCCCTTTGTTTCCAGGGCTGTCCTCAGATCCCCTGTTGAAAGTTTAACTTGTGGCTTCAATGACAGCTCACGGAGCATGTTTCTCTGCAGTGTGCCCCTTTTCTGCCGGCGCAGAAAGCTTTGGCAACTCTGTCCTTGGGCCTATGCGCGAAAATGAGGAGTTTTTCTGAGCTCCCAGTGCGTGCATCTGGTGGACCAAATGCCTTTGATGGCAGTCTCGATGGTGCTACGAACACAAACTCCGAAACAGCTCGCGGAAGGAAGACGAGTAACGACAACAACTGCACTGGCAACGACAAGGACAGACAACGATCTCTACTCTTGGTTATGGTAGCAAAAAACTTTGCTTTTTGCAGACCCCCAGTAAAAATGAACAGAACCAAAGAACTAAAAAACTAAAAACATGCCAAGAACAGTGAAGCGACAACTCCTCACTTCCTGAGTGGTTACCGGCCACAAGTCAACTTGTTATTTACCACTATGATCTTCCCAAAAGTGTAAAGTCCTGGAACCCAGGCAGTGAGTCTGATTAAGGACAAGGACACCGACCAATGATATGAAACTGATTTTGCGCATTGGAACCTCTGAGTCCTCGCTTGAAACATGGACACGATAAAATTGGCTGTAATTCGCAGTGCGCCAGCACCTCTCAGAGGTGTCGTCGGATTGCACGTGTCGTCGATCCGTTCCACTTCCGAGGCCTGGTAGGTGCTGGCACATCACTTGAGTCACTTGCTCAAAACCCGGTATTCAACTGGTCTACCCAGAACCATGCTTCAAGAATTTAGAAGGCGGCCGCAGCCATTTCCGGTTGGGATCGTCCCTCACTAACCTTCATCTACCCGGGTTTTGATTTTGACTCACTTGAACTGTGCAGGCGAAGCTGGAAAATGAGGCCGCGCTACTTTGAAACCTGTGCCAGATTAGCTCAGTCCTCCTTGCTGGGAGAGCCTCCAGTCGGTGCACGCGACCGCTCTCGCCTTTTCATCACGCGCAGCCGCAGCGTACTTATTTCTGGAACAACTAACACCCATCAAACACCGTGGAAGCCATCTATGTCCAGTTTCAAACCCACCGATGAAAAGGACACCAACTCCAACTCCCAATCCTGCCTTCACTCCCGCCATTTTGTTGCGTAGAGACGCAGGGTACTCTTCCCACGCCCAACCCGCACCCAGAATCGGAGGATTTGTTGGGGGCCGATTTTTGCTCCCACCAAAAGGCATTTGGACCCCACAGAAAAAAGCGATCTATCCACTCCAGGGCATTCCATCCACTCAGGCCACAAACAACCTGACCAAATTTTCTTCACTGACCTAAATGTATCCTTGAAGAGACCCAAAAGAATGGATGGCTTCCCCAAAAAATCCCAGGAAAACCACCCACCAAGGTCGAAAAAAACAAGAAAACATATGCCAAATGGGAGATGTTCAAATATCCAGCAATCATGGAAGCTGACACAGGGGATTTGGAGGACGACTTTCCTTTTGGGGAACCCCTCTTGTCCTGAGCTGTCCTCAGATCCCCCGCTAAAATTCCAACTTTTAGTGGGCTAAATGGAAAACCAAACACTAAGAAGCTAAAACACTAAAAGGCTTAGGAACCGGATGGCTGGGAGCCACCAAGTGCCCACTTGCATGGGTTAGAAGGAGGGTACGCTCCCTCAGACTAACATGGAAGCTCCCAGAGGGCCACTGTCAATGGAAACAAGTCTTCCAAAGTAGTCCTAGCTTCCGGCTGTTATCGTTCTTTTCAAAAAACCGATCACCATTTCCCCAGGGTGTTTGGTGGTTTTCTAGAAAGATCCGGATCCCTGGATTCAGAATGGAAATGGAAGTTACCCCTAGAACCAAGTGACTGTCCACTTGCATGGTTCAGGGGTACCTTTCCCATTCTTTCCAGGGATCCTTCTTTCTTAAAAACCTTCAGAAACCCAGGTAAAACGGCGATCTGTTTAAGAACAGAACGATGGTTGAAAAGAATGGACAAGAATCAACCCCTAGAATGGTTGGAAGGAGGAGTAACCCCACTAAACCAAGGAAAAGCCTAAAAAGCTAAGGAACCAGATGGCTGGGAGCCACCACGTGTCCACTTGCATGGGTCGGAAGGAAGACCACAAAACAGTTTTCAGAGCGAGGCGCTGTAGCCCACGAGCTGCTTTGTGCCCAGCTCCTGCACGCCCTTCAATGTCTCCGCCTGGCACTCGACTTGACTCGACGGCGGCGGCTTGACGGTAGGTCCTCCAGTGGGGAGAGTTCCCCTACTAAATACCCTACAGAAAAAAGTTGGTACCCTTGTTCTAACCTCTCCACTAGAGAGGTTAGAATAAGTTGGCACCCGTTGCTTAAAAAAATAAAAATAAAAATATTTTAGTAGGGGAACCCTCAAAACCAAAAAAGGGGTGAGAAAGGGCACCTAGCTGGGGGGACCTGGGTAGCGCACACTTTGCTGGTGGTCAATATGGGCATGGATCAACATTAACCGCAGGTGTTGGTCCATGGTTCATTATTTACCAGGGCATTTACCAGGGCAACCCATATGAGGTTCCTATTGTTGACCCACAGCCATATTGCGGAGTCTTTGTTTTTGAGGGCACTGGCGTCCAGATTGGTTTGAAGAGACCAAAGGAAACACCACCATTTGGGAGGGAAGTCTCATATGTTGAAGACATACCCATACAACGGGGTGCCTCCTGGATCAATCAAAGGATTCAGCGACATAGCAAGCGGAGTTGGTGAAGCTGGCTTGGGGGGCATTGAGGATCATTGAGGAGCTTTATATACGGCTGTGGGTCAAAAATGCGTACCGAAAATGGAACCCTGGTAAATGGAACCAAAGACTAAAACCTGAGGTCCCTGGTGGGTTTAGTTTGACCCATACCCATATTGAGAACATGACAAAGGTTGGCAAGTGGAGATCTTAATGGAGATAGTTTTGAATGGAAAGCTCTACGTGGAGGATGTCCCAGTCTTGAACCGCCAATTCTCCCATAGCATGTGTGATGGCAAGATACGTCAACTTTGTGCAGCGCCCTGAGCCAAACCAAGACACAAGAATGACGGTGTCCATCCCTGGCGAGCCAAAGAGAATTGAGTCACGGGTTCACAAATCCATGCATGCTCGCAGCCCGAAAAACCCAATTGCGGGCAGTTGCATCTGAAACCTAGCCTCAACTCCCATGCTTTTTGAAGCGGGGGCTGTTGTATTTCCGGTTCAGTTAAATGAAAACAGGCACACTTCACCAGTGTGAACATCTCTGTTGTTTCGATTCTCCACCTCTCCTTTCCCTTTCTGGGGGTAGACATGGACATTCTTGTTTACTTGGCCCTCTTTCCTTGTCCTTTCCTTGTTCCTGTGGCACAGAACCCCACCTGCCTGCTTCTACGGGGCCCCAAGCAAGGGGCAACCACCTTAGGTGACAACTCCATGGCTACTGGTTGGTAACTGAGAACCGCACGCTTGACCCAAGCGGGAAAACCCAGAACGTTGAACTGGCCTAAAGTGTTCAGCTTCCCCCAAATCGGTGGTTTGGAGCCGAATCGGTGGCTTGGTGGTTGAGAGGGTTGCCATTCACCCTCTACCCAAAGGTTCAAATGTTCAAGCGATATCTGCCTTTGACCCAAAAGGCAGTCAACACAACCTCCATAAGCTTCTTCGTCCCCTGGACCAACTTTCAACCGGGGGGCGAAGACAACTTAAGCAAATGGAAGTATGGCAAATGCAAGATTCCCTTCAAGCATGGAAGCTGACAGGAGGCATTTGGAAAAAAAACACCTAGATCTGGCTTCCTTGTAGCTTCCGTTTAAAACCAACAGGGGCAAGAAAACACAACCTTCAGCCAATTCTAGTTGAAGCCTCCCCCTTCTTTCCAGGGATCCTTCTAATCAGTAAACCCTAAAAAAGAAAAAATAATGAAACAACCGAGGGACACCGGTGATTGAAGAGAACGATGGTTGATAAAAGAATGGACAAGGAATCCACCCGACCAATGGGAAGTGTTGGAACCCACCCCCAGCGCTAAGCCCATCAAGGCCGAGCGGGACGCGTCGGCGCCTCGACGGCGTCCGCCGCCGCGGCGGCGATCTCCTCCACCCGGACGGGCGGCCGCAGCACGCCTCCGGGCGAGTGGCGTGGGAATTCTTCCGCGGAAAAAAAAACAGCAAAACACGTGCTGGGGGGGGGGGGGAGCTGGGGAGGGGGGGGTGGGGGGCGGGGGAGAAGGGGTGTGGGATGGGGAATGGGTTGGGGAGGGGAGGCTGGGGCGGGGAGGGGACCGATTTTTCAGAAATGAAACAGAAACAGAAAGACCCCCAAACAGAAACAAACATGAAATGAAATACCAAATGGGTGGCGTAAAGGAAGACCGAATCCATTTCTTGGGGGTCAGGGTTTGGTGGGCTTGTTTGGGGTTGAAGTTGAGAAGCCCATTTTAGGGGTCAGGTATGATAGCAATTTAGGATGGACGAATCTGGAATGCTCAGCTCTTGGTACCCGTTTCGAGCAACCTCGAACGAGCAAAAAGGTCGGTCACCTTTTGCAGCTTTCAGAGGGAACCATGAAATGTTGTTTCCAAAAGGGTGTTGTTGTTGTTTTTTCTTCTTTTTCTGCTAACCAAAAAGAAGACATGCCAAGAAAAAATTGTCTTTCCTTACACAACATCGGGAAAAAAAACCAACGAGACCTCCGGGGCCTTTTGGACTTCAATTCCTCGCAGTCCCAGTTTTCGTCCGGCCTCCGAAGAGGCCAGGCCAGCAGGACTCCATGGCCTCGCAAGGCCTCGGGGAGGAGGAGCTTCCACGTCGTCGGTTGGTTGGTTTTCGTGTGTCTTCGTGGTGTTTTATTTTGCGCACATGTTGGGCCGTTTTTGTGTTTTGTCGTGTTTTTTGTTGGGTTGTTCTCTCTGCTGCTTTCTGCTCCCCTGCCTTTTTTTTTTTTTTAACTTTTAGTGGTTGAATACGGAAAACCCACGAGTTGGCAAATAGTTAAAAAGTCCTAACAGCCCTTAGCAAAATGCACCAAAGTACCGTGCTTGCTTTCTTTGCCACCATGTGTTTGTTTTATCATTTTTCCACCAGTGGATGTTCGTTTTCCAGATTATTGCTCTTTGGGTTCGCGATGTGCGTCTTACGTGCGACTAAAGCCACAGTGGTTGTTGCGCTTTCCATTGTTCGACAAGGGTGCGTTCCTACTGTGGGTTGTTTTCCACAATGTGCTTTTCTCATTTTTCCACAAGTGGGTTCTTTCGATTCGGGTTCAGAGATTTGTGTTGTCATATGATATATGCAACTGAAATGGCTGTGTTCCCTTTTCCCCTTACCCCCAGAAGCTGCCTTCCAAAACGAACACATCTGAACAAGCTTCGCAACCAAACACTCCAAATATGAATCACCTGGTCTTCAAGGTTCCGGTCCCTACCCAAAAAAAATACGGGTATGGGTCGAAAGTAAACAGCCAGGGGACCGTTGGTTTTAGTGCTTGTTTCCATCTTGTTCGATTTCGGGCACATATTTTTGACCGCCAAATGGCCGTGGGTCAAAAGCCAAATCGTACCCCCAGTGAACATCCCAATCCAACCACTAACATAGGTTCAAAATGGGTGAATTCACCAATCCCAACCAAAATGGGATCCCAAAACGGTTTTGACCCACTAAAATAGGTTCTAAAATGGGTGAATTCACCAATCCCAACCAAATGGGATCCGATTCAAAACGGTTTTGACCACCACAGCCATCTGGGACGCCGATGAAAGAAACCAATGGACCTCGCAAACCAACCAAAAAACAAGTTCCGTGTGACCTCGAAACAAGTCTTGACCAGAATCTGCGCCGATGGACTCTTCACCCGAATCGCTGAGTGCGGAAATCCGCGAGAATGCGATCAGAGTCGAAACCTGGCCCCAAAATGGGGGTGGAGGCCTGTTGGCTTCAATCGCAACGCAAAAGGGGGACCACCAAAAAAACATCACTCCAACACCTGTGGCCAAAGTCTGAAGATCCGAATGCACCAGTGAGTCAACAACATGGACTCCTGGTCACACATCCACGCAGCCAATCCCAGCCTACCAGCGAGGAAAAGCCCCTCCCAACTAAACCAAGTCCAGACTTCCCACCCAGCTAGCTGCAATATGGGTGTGTCGCTTTTTAGGGAACCCCCTAAAAAATCATATAGTGTTGTTCCTCTTGGTTTCCCTGAAAAGCTGCCAGGAAGGGATCACCTTGCGGGGCCACTGAACTTGGAAACCCAAAAGGAAAGGTGAGGAATTCGCTTTTGAGAAAAAGTGACAGCTAGCCTCACCTGCCGATTCCCGCTTTTTTCGCCCAGAGAGGCTCCATAGTCCAGGCTTTGCAATTTAATGAGCCACACTCCCTTCACAATTGAAAGAGATTTAATTTTGTTTGCCTGTTTGCCTGATGGTGTTTCTTTCAAACCGCCAAAAACACGGTACCCTCCCAAAAAAAAGACGAGCCACTCATTTGCCCACGCGAACCCACTCGAATCCTAAGACGTCGCCTGCCTGGATAGCAAAGACATCACCAGGCGCATTGGCTCCATAAAAATCCACAGCCTGAGCGAAGTCTTCCGCACAAATCGGCGGCAAGTGGATGACTCGTCTTGCATTTTGGATCCCTTCACTGGGCTGTCCGTTTTCAGATCCCCTGCTCAAAGTTTTTAGCTTACTGACTTAAATGCGGAAACCTCGCCTAAACCAACTAGAAAGCTAAACCGCTAGGGGGATGGCTGGGAACCACCAAGTTTTCTGCAGTTGTGCAAAGGGAAACCAAGAGCCATTTTGAGAGTCCAACCTTAACTAGGTCTTCCAGTAGAGAGGTTAGAATAAGGGCACCAACTGTTTTTTCTATTTTGTCTATTTTAGTAGGGTAACCCTCACCCTCTCAACCAAAAAAGAAACAGTAAAAGGGCACCTAACTGGGGGACCTAGTTAAGAAAGACACCCTCAAGTAGAGACCCAGCTGACTTCCGCATGCCTTTGGCTTCGATCTCAGGTCTTGACTGGCGAATGGCCAGGAGTGGACAGCCGTTCTTCGTGTCTGCAGCTGAGAAACGTGAATGGGCATGCTCGTGTGTGTGTGTGTGTCAAAATAGGCTGACGTTTGCCTTCCTTTGCTCAGTTGCCGTTTAGGGGCCAAGAAATACATTGTGAACCTTTTGGGATGACTCAAAATGGGGGGCAGCCAAACAGGTCACTTCAGGTCGACTCGCTGTGGGCTTTTGTGACTTTGGGTTTCCCTGGAAGAATTTTCACTTTGGTTTCCCCTTTGCCGCTCACTCAGGTGTTCATGGGTGCCCTCTGCCATCGGCTGAAAACTTGGGCCCCGAGGTCGCTACGGGACTGAGGTGGTCCCCTCCAGCCGCGTGCCGGTGATGGCACCGGGCTTGACCACCTGAGCTGGGTGCTTTATTTTTTTGTTCTTTAAGGGAAACCAAAAGGAGAACCACTATTTGGGGAGGAGGGTCCAACTTCCCAAAAGACACAGAAATGGCTGTGGTGGTCAAAAACCGTTTTGGGATCCCATCTTGGTTGGTAGGTGCACTGGCACCACCCATTTTAGAACCTATTTTAGTGGGGATTGGGATGTTCACTGGGGGTACGGGCTTTTGACCCATGGCCATATGGCCAACGTTCAACCTTAAACCTACCTGGACCCTCCAACTGCCCACAAAAGATGGGATTCGCCCTACTTTTGGGGCAAAGCATTTACACATGGAGCCATCGCAAAGCTGAAGTGATGCATCCTGGATGAGTCGATCTGGCGCCATGATTTCCAGCGTCTTGACTCTCAATGGATACCCGCTTTCCATCCATCGTTTTGGATGTTTTCTGGGTTAACATTTCGGGTACCGCGTAGTACATGTTCGGCTCTTTACCGGAAAAAAACATCATGGAAGCAACTGAAGCAACCACTGGTTTTCCGTGGATCTTGTACAGGGTTCCCAGAAAGGACTGGAATCCCTGTTGATGAATCTCTAAGGGCAAGCGACAACACATAAAAATTGGGCTCAACATTACCAGCGCCTACTTCAACCATCAAATTTCCCCTGTAAATGGGTGACGAAAGAAACCAATGGACGCCGGTTTAACCCACAAAAAGCAAGTGACGTCGGAAAAAGTGTCACGAGAACCATTCCCACAGAACTGGCCGGGCTTCTGCCAGCTACGGTGAGATTGAACTTGGGGAAACCAAAGGGTGGACCGAATTCGGTTGGCACCGAGGAATGCGGGAAAAGGGGGGGGGAGGTGGTCCAAGGGTGGTTTCCTAGGGCTCCAGGAATTTTAGGGAACAACAAATCCTGAGAAAACCTGAAAAACCTTGAAAAACTTTAAGGAACCTTAAGGAACCCTAAGGAACTTTAAGGAACCTTAAGGAACCCTAAGGAACCCTGAGGGTACCTACCCCGCGGATGGGATGGGCTTACGAACCAGTCCTTTGCCACTGGAGCCGGCCGGCCCGCCCGGTGGCCGGAAACTCCTTTTCGTCGGGTTGAATTGCTCGGTAGACCCCAAAAGGAAGGCCCAAAGCGGTGTATAACAGTAAGACAAAAACACAAACTTGGCATGGGAAAAAAACACAGAACAACAGAAACAACAACACGCCCGGAGCTCAAGACCTAAAGGTATGAGGGCCTCAACAGCCTCAAAGAATGAGGTCTTGGGCCCCTAGGGACGAACCAAAAACAACCAAAAACCAGGGCCCCCAAAATGGTATGTAAACATCTAAACAGTCTTGGCATGAAGCAAACGACCAAGAAAACCCGGAAAAAAAAAAGAAGAAGACAGCCACCAAAACCAGCGGTGGCCGGAGCCCTATCCAGATATGTTTGATCGTTGAACTTTGAAAATATAGATAGTTTAGAACATGACGAATCTCTTGGTAGTACTGATAGAGCGCAACGACGTTTTTGAGTTTGAGTCCTCTGAACTCTCAGGCTCAGGACCCGGCAAGCACGTGGCACTCGGAGCCGCACTTCTCCTCCCCGCACTCCCCGTGGTCCACTCACTTCAGTGGATTGGCCCGAAAAAAGTCCCCAAAGTCGTTTGTGTGCCACTATGGTCTTCTCAAAAAGTGACTCAAGTCCATGAACTCAGGGAGTGAGGCTAGAGTTAAGAAGTGACCAGCAGCGTAGAAGCCTCACATAAGTCACCCAAGTGAGCGTTATGACCCACTTACGAGCCGAACACTCCAGAACGCAACATCTGACTTCGACGGAAACTGGTTGTGTCTCAAACCGCCTCGACTGACTTCAACATACTCAGACTCCCAACCCGGATCTCTGGCTGAGCAGAATCTTGCAAATCAACCAAAACCATCGCCAGAGCTTTCTAACACTTGGGATGGGCTTGCAAAAGAAAAACGGGTTTTTGCAGCCCACGAAGAATGAACAGAACCTAACCACAGCGAAGGGAAAGCATGTCAAGCCTGATCCCAGCTGTGGATGCACTCCGAATATCTGCCGACACAGACACCCACAGACAGGAATTCCACCCCGTAGGGATTCGCCTCGTGTCCGCTTTCTGAAATGCAGTCATTTGCCGTTGATCTCCTCTTTTCAGCTTGATCTCAAACTGGATTTCCACGGAAATGCGCATGGCCATTTGCACATATTACCCCAAACGCCAGTGTTCATAGTTTGGGCCATTTGTGTGGATTCTAGGTTCTAGTACCAACTCTTTTTCTATTTTGTCTATTTTAGTAGGGTCCCGAACCCAAAAAATAACCAAAAAAAAGGGGTGAGAAAGGGCACTGGGGGACCTATTGGTCCAATTGCTTCCAACGTCACGCGGCTTCTCAGTTCCCCGCGGGGTAGCTGAGAGCCGCCTTTTCGGCGGCCAACTTGCCCTCGCGATATGGCGCCTGGCCAAGGCGCCAAGGCAAAAAGCGCCATTGAGTCACAATCAAAACCCGGTATTAAAATGGTCGTAACCCCAGAACCATGCTTCAAGAATTAAGAAGGCGGCCGCAACTATTTCTGGCTGGGACTGCCTCTTACTAACCTTCATCTACCCGGGTTTTGATTGTGGCTCCCATGACAAGGCTACGTGCCATGGCGTAGCGTGTGTAGGTCTGGTCGGGAGGCTACTTGGCCGGGCCAAAAAATGTGTGGTTATCCCGGTTGATTTGTTGCGGTGGGGTTTACCCTACATCTAGACCACTTAGGGGACTTAGCTGGGAATATCAAGACGGAATCTACTAGAAAACATCAAGTTCGGATTTCATGTTTGTTCTTGCAAAGTTACAGGCCAAAAGCGGTTGCTAGAATATGACCCACCAAAATTGGTGGAACCTGTTAAAACGACCAGCTCTTCGAGAATTAAGCACAGCCTGGGAACTCGCTATCCCTTTCGAAAAAGGAACACTACTAGAAATCACGCAACTAGGCACCTGACATTGGGTCCTGGCTGGTCTCTCTACTTTCCGCCTCTGAACCACATGTTCCATTTCGCAAACAACTTCCGGCCGGAATTGGCCGTGCCCGGGCCCCTGTTGTCGAATCTTGCACGAAGATGTTCTCAAAAGGTTGCACCCAGGCCCAAAAAGGGACAACCCCTGTAGCAACACCACGGGACAACAAAAGCGGCCTTTCCATAGGTTGCCTTTTGGAAAAATAGATGGCCCTGGTAAATGGAACAAAACACATCTAAACCAGTGCCATCTATTTCTAGCCAACCTAACCTAAAAAGGACACCTGTGGGCCTTTCGGACATCAGACTTTCCAGTCGTTTCCGCCAGCCACCAAAGTGCCATGCACGGCCTGACTTCCTGTCTCAAGGGTCCCAACGCCTCTGGTGAATGGCCATAGGTCGCCGGAGCATTATCCACCCAAATATTACAGTACCCCCAAAATTGCGAACAACCAAAATTGTGTTGTCCATTTCAGGCGGAAATGGCACTGGTGAATCTTAATCGGGGCTCCGAAATGACGGACACCACTTAGATAAAATGCCGGATCCCCAAAAAAAACGAGAGAAAAAGTGTAGTGGTCTTTTGGCTGCCCTTTAAAACCACCCAACCAGGTCTCCTCAAGAGGACAAATGGGAATTCATGTCCACCACTTGAGTTCGGTGGTAACTCTCAAAATTGAGAGCCTGAACCCTCCAAATGCCGACTTACAATGGGGTGAATTGCAACCCAAAATTATCGGCCGGGTGATTTCCAAGATTTGTCTGGGTAGTTCTTTCGGGTCCCTCCATTTGCCTTTTCGGTTTCTGGGGGAAAAAACACGTGCAATAGGCAATAGTGAAATCGATTCCCTCTAAAACCAACAGAGGTATATCATATATTTGTTTCGGCAAATGGAAAGGTCGCGACGCCCCAGGTACTTGCAGCCGAAGGTGCAATGAGCGACCAGCTGGGCATTGTAGCGTTCACCAGCACCACTCGAGGGATCTGTCGAGGCTGGAACCAAAAATCGGATCCAAAGGCATCCCTCAAGAAGGGTAGAGTTTTCTGGGGATGTGGAGAATGTGAGTTTGATGTTGAAGGGTTTGGGGGGGGGGTGGCCATTTTTGGGGGTAGGATTTTCTGAGTTGCAACATGTTCATGTGCCGTTGAGGAGTTGGGGAGGGGATATTTGCGGAGTGTTCGGCTTGTCTTGCTGATGCTCAGCAGGGAATAACGTTCCTTGTGGTTTCCTTTAAGGGGACCCCTGGGTTCATTCCCACATTCCCTACTGAGCACCAGCAAGTTGTTCGTCCCCTGGGAAAAATGACAACATATGTAGTAGCCACAAATGTCGTTTAAAACCCACGGGGGAAAATAGAAAACATATTCAGTTCAGCAAATGGAGGACAAGCATAAGCATGTTTCGCACACGCGTTTACGCGCGCCGAGGCATAAATAGCACGCTTATTTGAAGGTGGTAAATGAGAACGGCCACAAAAACTCTCTCTATTGGAACAGTTTGGCAATCAAAAGGATTTCTTGGGATCATGAGCATGACCCACACCCAAAAGTTATGACCACAACAGACCTGCAGCCTAAAAGCGCAAACGTGTCAAACGTCCCTCGCTCTGATTCTGCTTTGCGCGAGGCTGACCTGTTTCTGATGGGTGAAGTCAAACATATGGATGATGTTGGTAAAAATACAGTAGATTCCTGCAGAACACTATTCCAGTCTGTTTCTGTAGTTTCCCACAGCTGGCGGTTGGCTTGCATGCAACATCGTACCATCGCAGAACCGGGGTAGAGATGCCCGCCTCAAAATCTTCCTGATGACAGGCAGTTGCTCCCTTCCTGCGTGGATTGACCAAATAAAGTCCAACTTCTATTTACCACCAAAGTTGTGCTCCCAAAAAGGTTCAAGTCCAGGAACTGAGGGAGTAAGATCATCTGCATTCCGCCCATTGTGATTGCAGGTTTGTTCCCCTCTACACAACCCAGGGGTTCAAATCCAAATCCAAATCCAACCAATCCAAACCAACAAAGGGCAGAAGCGCCCGCTCCAAAACGCGGACGACCCAAGTGCTGCTCCTAACGTCGCCTTGTGCTTGGCCGCGGTTTCCAGGATCGAGATGTTGGTGGTTCCATTGGACCTGGCCGCCATGGAAGCCAACAATAAGCTCAGGTGATATCCCCAACAGCAGGCGGTGCTCTTTTTCGTGCTCGCACCACCCCGCAGCCCGCGTGGAACCCTCCTCAAACCCTGGTGGAACCCTGGTGGAACCCTCGTGGAACCTTACCTCAGGGCCGCCCCGGACCACCCCGGAGCCTATCTGGGCTGAGACCCCAAAGCTTTCAGATCGGATTCCACCTGCAAATACACACAAACGGTATAGTTTTAAACCCCGTTTTCAAAGTGGTGCGAAATGGATTTCGTCCATCCACAGCGTGGGCGTGGCTCAACATAGGGACCCCCGCAAAAAAAGAGAGAGAGAGAGACCAGCATTCGCTGGCTGCGCAGGTCCCAGCAATCGGGGCGACCTCAAGAGTCAAGAGCCATCCCAGTGTTCCGTGAGCAACGCATGTACGTTTCGCTGCCGGCAGGGCCCTCAAAATTTCGACGACTCGTGCAACTTCTTGAAGGGGGAGAAAAAACAAAAAAATGCGAGGCGTCTCTACCAAAACGAATCTCTTCTGGTATGCTCCTTGGGGCGAGGGAGTCCTCGGATGCTCATGTCTTGAAAGGAAAGACACGGTCAATGCCCATGTCTCAAGGTGGCATAGAAGGCAATGAGGCGCATAGAAGGCAATGGGGCTGACGTTTTGCTGGCTGCTGAGTGCCTCGCCAATGAAATGTGCGTGCTGCTCAAGTGAAAATCCAGTGCTACTCCAGTGACATCAAGTCCAGTCAAAAACAGCTTTCATTGAAAAGTTCAAGTGGGACCAGCCTAAACATAAAACTCGCTGGAGTTGCTTGGGCTGGTGTGGCCATTTGGCTGTGGGTCAAAAACATGTACCAAAATGGTACCTTGGTAAATGGAAGCAAAGACTAAAACCTGCGTAACCCCAGCTGTTTAATTTGAGCCACACCCATTTGGGTCCATGCTGGTGTAATTTGTTTCTTGGCCACTGTTTACTTCAAATTAGAACCAAATCAACAATGAATAACGTGCCCTGGCACGGAGCGAGTCGCGTTGCTTCGAGCCAGGTATGTCAGCTGGTGAAGGAGCTGCCAAGAACAATGCTGCGGAAGGCCGACCGTCCATCCGTCCATCCCAAAATGGAGGTTTGCAGAACTTTCTATTGGAGCCCAACATCCACGTCTCGCATGTCAGCAAGCTTCGAAGAAGTCCGTAAATAGCCCGGAGCACACGAGTAAAACACAACTAAAACACATCAGTCTGGTTTCCATCGGCCATTCCATTTTAAAGAAGCCAAAGAGCACGAACAGCTGGACAGACTGTCTCACAATCCATGCCGATGTTCTCTGCCCGGGCCTCATAGCCCTCTCTTTGTCCCGGATCCAGGGGGGCTCTCCAACAGCGATCCTGAGCTCAGCTTCAGTGTCTTTGGGTTGGGAACATGCGTGTCTGCTTTCCGGCCGAAGACAGCATACCAACCAAGCGGCAGGGGATGACTTCCCATTCTTTCAACCATCGTTCTTTTCTAAACCGGGCGTTTCCCTTGGGGGTTTTGAGGGTTTTCCGAAATGACGGATCCCTGGAAAGAATGGGGAAGTTGCCCTTAGAACAAAGGAACTGGTGTCCCTGCGTGACTTTGCGCGTCAGGTCGTCCCGTTCGCACGAGCGTCTGCAAGATTGACCGAACCCTTGTGGCAACTGGCAATCAAGAAATGTGAAACCAGCCTTTTTGTTCAGCTTCCCCTTGCTTTGGTGGTTTGGAGGTGTGGAGGTTGGGTGGTTTCCCATTCTTACAACAACTAGGGGTTCAAATGCCCAAAACAATCGCAAAGCACCAATTGAGGGGCGCCTGATTTGCTGCTGTTCAAGGGAATCTCGCGAAAGAGCGGATTGATTTGCCCAGAGATGAAAAACCCAATCACAGTCCGAAAACGGAAAACTCACTAAGTGAGAGCCCAACTTTTACCATGGAAAGTCACCGAAGAGAACATCTCCCTCCACGCTCGTCTTCAGCATTCCACCTCCCGAACCCTTTTTCCCTGGGTGATGGTTTTCCTTGACACCCAAAAAGCGCTGGGCGTCGGATCTCCTTGGTCGACCCCAGAAAGGTACCCTCAGAGAAAAAAACAACTTCCCTGGGTACCCACTGGTGGTTGCCTCTTGGTGCCACCTTAAAACCAACCAAAAAAGGGCACCCTCCCAAAAACAGGAACCCGGATCCATTTTCAGGTACCCCCTTCTTAGTGGTCTCAAAGGAACACCAAAAGGAAAGCCACAATTTCAGGAAAAACCTTTCCCAAAAAGACACCTCCGCATGGGCGAGCCTTTGCAAAAAAAAATCACGGCCCTGGTAAGGGCATAGGACCCATCTAAACCGGCGGACCCCATCTATTACCAAACTCACCGATGAAAAGGACACCTGCGGGTGGACGAAATCCATTTCGCACCACCTAAACACCCTATGGGGGCACCCTCACAATTTGCATCGCCCCTCAGCAACTAGGTCCTGTAGAGAGGCTAGAATAAGGGTACCAACTTTCTGTTGTAGTCTATTTTAGTAGGGTTCGCCCTCCCAACCCAAAAAAGGGGTGGTTAAAAGGGCACCTAGCTGGGGGACCTAGGCAAGGTCCCTCCCCGAAAAACGGGCGCGCCAGCTCGACCCCAAAAACCGGCGCCGCTTCGGATCGCTTCGGAGCGCGGAACGGTGCCGAGCCGCACCACCGCGCGGGCGCCGGGCATCAACGCCTCGAAGGTCTCAGGGTTCAGCGCGTCCACCCCGCTGATCTCCTGGCGCCGGGTTTTGGGTGGATTGGGCGGGGCGGATCGCCACGTCCGGTTTGGGGGGGGGGGGTGGCGCCAATTTGGGGAACTCAAAACACGACTTGACCCGAAGGTTGACGTTGGAAGGGGAGCAAAAAAAATCATGTTTTAGCAGTTAAGTGGGGATTTCCCACAAAACCACAATGAGCAAAAATGTAACATGCTTCCCAGCAACAACCATGTTTTGGGAGGAATGGGGGGGGCGCCAATTTTTGACTTTGACCCAAAGGGTGCTGGGCTCATGCAGAAAATTCGGGCGGTGCCCCCCAGCCATCCTAGGAGGCAACTGCCGGCAACTTCCTCAACTCCTCCAACCTAGCGAGTCGCAAACAAAATTCGGTACAGGAGTCTACCCCAAACCAAAGAATCAAACGGGCGGATCACCGCACCAGTTTATGGTTGAGACTGTCCCCTAGCCTCCACCAACCAAACCACAACCCCAACAACAACCCCAAGAGCCATCCCAACAACAACCCCAAGACACCCCAACCCCAACCCCCAACAACAACCCCAATCACACCCCCAACAACTCCAACAACCGCTAAGAGCAACCCCAACAACCAACCCACCCAGCAACGACGCGTTTTGACCGCAGCACCCGGGTTTTCAGAACCCCCGCCCCGCCTCTACGTTCGCGCTCTCAGCTGCACTTGCCGGCTTTGAGCGACCCAGGCTGGCGGCGGGCAAGCCTAGCATCGGCGCTGAAGCCCCGGTGGCGCGGCTGCTCGGTTGCCCCCAAATGGCCGGCCAGTCACAGGGATCCTTATATTATACACCAGAACATTGCCTTGTAAATGGTGGTTTCCTTTTTTTTGGTGGAAAAAGCCATGTTTCAAATGGGCAACATGTATCTTTTAAGGAGCCCTGTGTCATGTCCCAGCTACAGAAGTATTTGCTCGGCGTGAGGAACTCTGCCCCATTGAGCCTTCGATACTGTGGATGGTGGCGGAATCCATTTCGCACCACTTGAGACGCCCAACGTAAATACCAACAAACGCAATATGGTTTCAACCATGGTCTCTTAGGTGGTGCAGGTTTTGTCCATCCACAGCAGCGACCCAGAAATCAAAGGTTGAGCTTTTGGGGCCAGTGAAACTGGGAGCCCAAACAGGGGAAACCAAAACGTCAAGACTCAATTCGCTTTGGGCCTTTTATGAGTAGATGAACCAATTAGGAATTGTGCCATCCAGACCCTGCAACCCCAGTGTCATAATGCTTACCCTTTTTTGGTGCTCTTCTGACAATGCAACCACCAAAAAGCTGAAAATGCGCGGAAAGAGTGGATTTTCCCCCAAGAAATGCGAACTGGCGATGCCCATGGAGTTTTGTGCCGCGGGACGGAAGGCTAAACCCCCCCCCCCCCCCGCCAAAAAAAAACAAGGGAGACGCAAGCGAGTCCCATAATGTTGACCCCGGATTAATACACCCCTGTTTATTAATATGGGGGTATCCCCGATTCTAGTGGGGATATCACTTTTGGAGGGGAACACCCCCATATTAATAGACAGGGGTTTATTCATCCGGGGTCAACATTACCTTCAAAGCAACAGCCCATCTCCAGCACCGAACGAAGCTTTTTGGATGCGTGCGACACGGCATGCATTCAGGCAAAATGCTAAAGATGACACTCGTCTGTTGATGCTTCAGGTTAAACAAAAAAAATAAGCTTGTCTGTAAAAAAAAGACTCACGCAGTGGTTTTTGTTGTCCTGCGCCCGACTGCTTCCCCACGTTTCGTTGAAGACATCCTCGGCTCTGCCCTTGCCGCTTGAGTCCTTGGCACCACTTCATATCACAGCCCGGCCCGGTGGATGGCTGCTAAATCCTGCACCACCTAAGAAGCCCTTTGGTGATTTCCCTGTAAATACCAACAAACGTCATGGTTTCAACCATGGTTTCATTTCGCTGGTGCGAGAAGCCGATTTCGCAACCATGGAACGGGGTTCCAGAGTTTGAATCACCCAAGGATGGCAAAGGGCTTTTCACAAGATCAACCCCCAACATTGGGTTGCTGTCGAAAAGCTCCCCCGAAACACAATCCAAAGGGTCCAAAATTTTGGGACACGCCCAAAACCGGAAACTTTCAACGTGCCGCTGCCCCGCCTCGCTTGGCAAGCTCCCTGCATACTGCCTGAGAAGGCAACTGAATTCAGCTGGGTGAAACAACGGGACACCATCTGTGGCTACACATCCACTAGACATGGGCGAAGATCCTTGTATCGGAATTTCCGTGCTGGTGTTGCAGGGAGGTCGCGCTCCGCCTGCAAAACTTGTCTTCCTTCAACCATGCTTGCACAAAAGCCTCCAGACAACACACGCTTCTAGATCGTTGCAGCGTGATAAACTACACACACAGTACCTAAACCTTTTCAACATAAGACAGCATGATCGACATCCTGAATCACTGAATCACGAATGCAAGTCAAGCAATGCGCTCGTGGATTGCAACCACAAACGGCCGCTTTCAGAAGCCAAGCATTCAAGCACTCCATGCACCTCGTGCGAGAGACCAAGTCTTGACTGTGGGCCGAGCTGGCCCAAGGGAAAACTCCAGAGATGCGTGTGTCTTTTTTTGGGGGGTTCCGGTCTGCTTCCCTTTGAAACCACAAGAACCAAAAGGGGTTCCCCCTCAAAAAAAAAACGACGAGCCGCCCATTTCCGCCGGCCCAGAACACCGCGGGCTCGTCGGCTTGGGCTCCGGGGCTCCGGGCGGCGCCCACAAAGCCGCGGCCGCCGAAGACCAACGTCCGGCCCGCCATGGCGACGAGTCCCGCTACGGCTTCTGCGCGTTCGAGCTAGGCAGTGGCACATCGATCTGAGAACGAAAGTTTCGAGCTCTCCGGAGAAGATCCCGAATTTTGAACTCTCACCCTGTAAGTTGCAGTTGCGAGCACCCATCTAGACCAGCAGATCACATGGTCAGGAGGAAGAGACCAAGGTTTTAGCTTTAGTATCGCTTGCTGTGAAGGCACATGCTCTGAATGAGGCAAGGCTTCGCTAGTTCAAGTCTGGCGCAAAGCACTGAAGGCAAGCCTGGGAACGCATGTCGTGAGTGGCTGTATCTGGAGCGGATACAGGGTGGAATTTGTTCATGCGTAAGGTTTTTGTGCCCGATTCCACCAATTTGAAGATTGAAGGCAAGACTGTGGATGGTTGCGAAATCAACTTCGCACCACCTAAGAAACCCTGGAATGATTCGATTCCCTTGTAAAGCCAACAAACAATGGTTTCAACCATGGTTTCTTAGGTGGTGCGAAGCGGATTTCTTCCATCCACAGTAGTAAGGTGTCTCTGTCGCAGTAGAATCCATCAGAACCTCCGAAAAGGAGCCATGGGTTCAGTGCATCTATTCTCCGACAGTTACTGAGGCTCCAAACTGGCTCCGTCATGGCACACAAAAGAAACAGCCCAATCTTCATCGATTTCTGAAAGCTTGAAATCGTAGTAATTACTGTTTCTTCAAGATGAACTTCTCGGCTACGTACTACTTGTTGGAGCCAACACACTTCTCAAACCTTCTTTCGCATCTGACAAGTACACCCATAGCCATAGCCATTGTAAGGCTTTCCGAAAACCAAAAACATGCTATGAATCCTGTGGGTCTCTCCACACGCACCAACTACAACGGAGCTCACAATTTTGTGTGTGTGTGTGTGTGTGTCAGCTTTTAGGATTTGGACCACCAACTTCCCGCTAATTGGTGGTTTGGAGCCGAATTCGGGGACGTGGTGAAACAGGGTGGTTTCCCATCTACCCTCAAGAACCAGTGCTCAGACGAAAGCACTAAAACCTGCGGTATCCCGGTCTTTTTTGGACCCCGGATTAATAAACCCCTGTTTATTAATATGGGGGTGTTCCCTCAAAAAGTGACAAATCCCCACTAAAACCAGGAACACCCCCATATTAATAAACAGGGGTTTATTAATCCGGGGTCAACATTAATTTGGACCCATACACATATTGAGAACCCCTGGCCCGCACGGGCGCCCGGGCTTGCTGTGGTTGTGGGGCACAGGCTCCAGCACCACCTCCTGAAGTCCACTCGTCTTTTGGCATGTGACCACGTGACAGGCCGATTGTATGAAACCATATGCTCGGTTGCTGTTGACCCCTCTGCAAAAAGTTCCACTTTTTGTGGGTCCAATGGAAAAAAAAACACGGTTTCCCGAAACGTTTAAAGTCCAAAGATCCAACCAAACAGCCATGAAGTGTGGATGTGTATTTGCTTTCGGGGACCCCACATGGATGGGTTGTCCTTTTTGTTGAACCAAAAAAAGGCACCCCAAAAAGACGGTACATTCCGACTTTGAACCACCCCACTTGGTGGCTGATATCTGTGGTTCATAAGTTCCTTTAAGGCACCATGAGGGTAGATCCCCATGGAGAGTTATGAACTAGGGATCTTAAGCGGTTAAGTGGTACGGTGAAGCACCGCAAATTGAGGAAAAAAGAAGCAAATGGCGATCTATATTGCTTGCCCGAAAAAGCACACTACAAAGATCTGTGAAAATGCACATGTCGTGTCATGGTCTCGTAATCTCGAGCTGGATCTTTGGCAAGTGAAGACTGGGCCGCTGGTTGGCCGCTTGAACCATGGCACGGTCCGAGTTTGGGGCAACCTTGGCGTACAGGCACACCTCTATCCACCAGTCTTGGTTCGCCTTTAAAAAGGCAATCTGCGCCAGAGTGACGTGTCTCATTGACGAGCTGAACGAGACAAACTTTGGCCGAAAACGATCTCGACCGGAGTGCCAAAAAGAAAAATCCGAACCGGAACTCTGACTCTGACCATGTTTTTTTCCAAGAACCGCAGACGGGTTGGGCAATGAAACCCAACCCAATTGGCTTTTCTGAGAACCCTAGACGCAGAAGCTGAACCAACTTTAAATCCCGAAGAAACGCCGAAGCGAGCTCCGGTTGAAGTCCGTGCACGGCTTGAGCGGGGCAACTGAAACCCTCGGATAAAGAGGCCATTGGCACAAAGCCAGATCTTGCTGAGCGGATGGCCCAAACAAAGTCCAAACTTTATATTTACCACTAAGATGGTCTTCCCAAGAAGTTTAAAGCTCATGAACTCAGGAAGTGAGAGATAGCTCACATATACGCCTCTTTTTGGTACCCTCATGTTTACAAGGCATATGGGTGTGTGTGGTGTGTGTGTGTGTCTTGGAGGGGTCCCTCCAAAATGGTGGTGTTCCTTTTGGCTTTCCTTTAAGACACTACCCTCAAAAAAAGGACACGCCCATTTGTTTGCCACACGTCTCACGCACATAGTCTGGCACAAACTGACTTGGAACCCAACCAGTTCAGCCCAACAAGTCCTCCTAACAATGGCTGGGCTCCAAAGCTTCCAACGAGAATTCTTGGCCAAAACATGAACCATGTGGGCGTGCCTTTTGAGGGAACCAATTCTTTGAAGGAACTCAGTGAACCTTTTGTTTGAGGGAACTCTTGGGAAGTCTTTGAGGGAACCCATACTTTTTGAGAGTGTTCAATTCTTTGTTCGAATTCCTTGAGGGAACCCATCCTCTTCCTTTTTTTTAAGATTTCCCCAGCCCACCCGCGCCTTCCACCCCAGCCGCCCCAGCCGCCCCCAAAAAAAAATCCGATCCGCCGCCGCCTCCGCGGGGATCGCGTAGAGCGGCGAGGCCGCGCGGCACCGGGCCAGCGCCGCCTGGGGTTTTCGTGGCCGGGAGTGGCCCTGCAACTTCTGAGTTCGTGGCCCTTGGAGGGTTCACCGCCTGGGATGAGTGGCCGAGATGAGCGTTGCCCTGCCTTCGGAGTTCGTGGCCCTCAAAGTTTTGAGGGTTGGTCATGCCGATTTTTTCGTATTTTGAGACGAACCAATGTGTGGGCATGCATGTGATGTTTTTGGTGGGCTTCCCGAAAAAGACATGTGTCAATGAGGGTCCCCTACTTTGCTTTGTGGGCATGCTTATTTTGGGTTGGCTTCTAACCTAACAAAGAACGGATTCTTCAATGCGGGAACCATACTGTACTAGCGGACTCTGATATATCGTCATACGTCACTGTTTCATGGTCCCCGGATTATTTTGAGGGGAAGTCGTGCTAATCACTGTTAGACACCAGACTGCAATTGGCTCCCCTTTTGGCTCTTGTTTGGGTATCCGTTTTTCATGGCGTTTAACGGAAAAAACACAAGGGAACGGTCGATATTTGGGGCTACCCATCTTGAGACAAAACCTTTTTTGAAAGAGCGCCATCTGGGTGTGTCATTTTTGACCCTGGTCATTAGAAACAAAAGTTGGAACCTTTATTTTTCCATTTTGATTGGAGATCCCACCACCGAAAAGGGAATCAAGGATAGAATTCACGGAACAACGGATTTGGTACCCTTTGTGGGAAGGGATTCCAAATCGAGACCCATTTTCGGGTGCCGAAAAGAGACAAACCTATCGCGGTCAGTGTTCAACGACCTTGGAATCAGCGCCTTTTCTTTAGACTAAGGATCAAAGGTGTAAGATGCTACCAAACGCTGACCCTGCCATGTCTGTGTAATAGTTATAAGTTGTACGTGTACATACACAGAATATATATATATATATACATGCGAGGGTTCATTTATACAGTAAAGAGCAAACACACGAGCATGACAATTTGGTTCAAGAGGAACATACACGACTCAAAGCGATCGATTTGGGGTCGCGCAAGGAGGCAAAGCCAAAGAACGGCAGCTCCAAAGAGATACACTACGTTGTTCATGTCAACCTACATAACTGGGCTGTCCTCACATCCCCCGCTGAAAACTTAGCTATTAGTGGGTTAAATGGCAAACCCCACTAAACACTACAAAGCTACAAAGCTAAGGGGATGGCTGGGAGCCACCAAGATACGTTGAATACATTACCATCTACCTCCTTTCTTCTGGCTTTGTCAAACTGCCGCCCTGACACGGAACACCCTCTGCAACACGTCAAACAGTGTGTCAGTCTGCAATTGAAAAAACAAAAAACATAACATTCTCCAAAAACGGGGAAGAAAGCATGTCGATGAAACCAGGGAGATGGCATAAACTCGGAAACCAAAGCCCACAGACCGATCATCCATCCCCCAGCTTCGAGCTAAGCTTCTTCGGCCTTTCTGGGCGCAAAGGCCAGCGTCCCAAGTTGGGTTCCCATGAACCCTCTACAAGAACCAGGAATTCATTCAAATCCGAATCCAGACTACCAATCCAAACCAATTGGGGCGTCTGCAACTAGGTCCTCCAGTAGAGAGGTTAGAATAAGGGTACCCTTTTTGCTGTAGTTTATGTTAGTAGGGGAACCCTCCCACACAAAAGGGGTGAGAATAGCCAATCCACCCGAAAAAAACCTCGCCGAACCGTCGACCAGCGAAGAATTTGGGGCGCCGCACCGCCAGGCGACACAGCACCATGGAGTACATCACCTCCGGCGAGAATCGTCCATGAGGTCCCGCAGAAGGCGACATTCTTTCCAGGCATCCGTGTTTCTTTCTAAAAAACCACCCAAAACCCTGGGAAACCGCTGGTTTATGGGTACCTGGAGTCTCCATGACCCTTAAAGAATGGTTGGTCATTACCCGAAATAAGGGGGTCATGGACACATTTTTGAAGGTCATGGAGACTCCAGGTAAAGGGAACGCACCGCATATTTTTTGGCAGTAACCCATTTTTATTGGAACTCTGAGGGTCCAGGTGTAAACCACCCTCCAAGAATATGGGGGTTTGAATTCTCGGTTTGGGGAAAAAAAAACATATCGGTTTGTTGGTTTCAAGACA